ACAAACAAACAAACAAAACAAAAACCAACCACTATGTGTGGATTTCAAAAAAACTTCACATCAAAATAAATTTGCCTTTTACTTCTATTTCCCCCCCACACTTCTTGAAGTAGCCTCATATAAGATTTATTTGTTTTACTTGAGAGAGAGGAAAAGACAAGAGATCTTCCATCTGCCAGATCACCTCCCCACAATGGTCGTGATGGCCAGGGCTGGGTCAGTCTGAAGCCAGGAGTCAGGAGCCTCTTCCAGGTCTCTCACATGGGTACAGGTGCCTGAAGTGCTGGACCATCCTCCACCGCTTTCACAGGCCACAAGCAGGGAACTGGATCAGAACTGGAGCACGCAGGACTAGAATTGACACCTGGGATGCTGGCACTGTAGCATAGAATTATCTTGCTATTCCATTGTGCTGTGCCCTAATTAAAACACTTTACCAATATCAATTCTCTGATGATGAGGCAGGGACAACTGTTACGCCTTTCTTGCAAGGAAGGAACTGAAATCCAGAGAGGTTAGGCATCTGGCCTGGGGTCACACAGCCAGGCACCCACGGATCCAGGCTCTGGCACCCACGCAGAGCCACTGCATTCTGCTACCCACTGCTTTGCTTCTTCTCCAGTTGTTACATTTTCCCCATAGTTTTATTCAAGAATAATTTGTAGCTCACAGCATTTGTGCATTTTACATGGACAGTTGAAGGACTTCAGTGAACTTTCAGAAGTGGGCAAACTTCTGATCGCCCTCATGCCCATCCCTACCCATGCCTGTCACCACTGGCTCCAACACCCAGCCCGGTGGCCTCGGTCTCTGTGGGGTTTTGCGCTTTGCCGAGTGGGGCGGCCTCCCTCGGCGAGGATTCGGCGTGGGATGTGATGCTGAGGCACCTGGCCCTGCTTTCCCGTCCCAGGCCATGCAGCGGCCACTGTGTGACCAGACCACGCTTGCTCGTCCCCTCGCCAGCTGGACGTCTCTTCAGTTGCGTCCAGTTTCTGGCCGGGAGCACAGCTGCTGAGAACATCTGTGCAGAAAGCTACACGAGGACCTGGACCCATGAGACATTCACTTTGCTGAGGATCATTCGGCAATCATGGCATGGCTCTTTTCACGATCTGCATCTCCCGTGAGTTTTTGAGAAGATTCAGCGAGTATTTCCCTTTTTCCTTGGGTCTGTATCTAAGACTGGAATTGCTGGGGTGTATGGTTAATTTATGTTCCATTTCATAAACACCAGCCACACTGATTTATTTTTTTTAACTAAAAGTACACCTCCATTTTCCATTGTTATGTCCTGGGTTTGTAGAGACCCAGACCTGGTTTGAACTCCAGGCTGGGTCCCATTCAGCCCCTTGGCTGCTGTGATCCACTCCAGAAGCAGGTGCACAAGTCATCAGCTATTCTACTCTCCCTCTGAAAGACCTCGCCCTCAGGGACCTGGTGCATTGGTGAGGGGATGTGAGCCAAGGGGGTCTCCAACCAAAAGAAAACCCAGGAGGACACGTGTGGAACCCCCAGGAGTCTTCTCTCCGGCGGGCCACAAGACCTTGGGTTTCCCTGGAGCTTTGCCGACCTCCTCACAGGCCCAGTGGGAGGACGACAGGGGAGATGGGGAGGGCGGCAGCCAGAGTGGCCAGCTTCCTGGGAAAGCAGCCCAGTCAAGGCTGCGAGCAGCAGGTGTCAAACGCCTTCCCAGAAGCTGCCCCGCCCTGCAGGAAACAGGAAGCCAGGCTGCTGCCCCACTGTTAGCCAGGACAGCTCTGCGTCCCGGGCTCCTCTTGGCACCCCATGCTGCTCCCTAAAGCTACTTCACCAGGCTGCAACTTCTGATTGACAGGCTCTGACATTTCTGCAAATGAGCAATCTCGGGACATAAACACTGGAGGGCATCCAGCCATGCTTTTCCTGATAGCGCCCCCTTCAGGCAGGGCATGAGCATGCAGGCAACTGCCCATCAAGAGGCCGGGCATTTGGCAGGACAGGATGGGATGCTGTCTGGGTCAGTTCACTCCTGAATGCCAGGCAGGTCTTCAAAGCCGCCTGGAACATGTGAAAATAGTTTTCTTTGGAAATGGGATCAATGCAGATAGAACTGAAGCACTATGAGATTAGGGCAGGTCTAGAACTGCGACTGAAGCGATAAGATGGAGGTGTGACACAGAGAAGAAGAAGGGAGCAGAACAAGCCCAGGACCACCGTGGGTCCCCTCAAGCACCGGAAGCCAGTGGGGGCAAGCCTGGCCTCTCTGCCCCCAGGGCCTTCCAAGGGACCACAGCTCAGCCAGCATCTTCACCTGACTTCCAACTCCAGAACCGTGGGAGAGTCTGTTTCTGGCATTTGAAGTCACTCAGCTTGCATAGCTTTGTCCTCTACCAGCCCTAAGAAACTAATGCCAGGCCCAAACCCTGAGGCCTGCACGCAACACGTTGTGAGTGCTGGCAGGTGGTAGAGAGAAAGGACTGCACACAGAGAGGGCTGCATGGAGGAGGCAGCGGCCAGAGGCCAACCTGGCAGGAGAGGTGGGTATTTGCACTGTGAGTCCTAACACATTCCCTAGATCGCAATCCGTGCTCAGTATCTGGGCTGGGAGCCAGGCTGTGCTCAAGTCACTTCCCATCAGTGACCAGCTAGCCAGTCCTCGAGAGGCCAGGCTCCCTCTGTGGGCAGTGACAACGACCCACCTGCTGAAACACACAAGAAGGACTTCAGGATTATCTGCCCCCGCCCACGAGCCCAAGTGCACCTCCTCACTCAGCACTGTGAGAACACGGGCACCAGCAGTCCCGGCTGGACCTGAACCCAGCTCCTTCCGGGGCCATGGAGCTTACCAGTGCTTTACCCGCCACCCCAGCCCTGCTCAGCTTCCTCCAACCACAGGGCCTGCTTCAGAGGCGGCAGCAGCTGGCAGTCTGTAGAACCATCAGAGCCTGGCACTCACAGCTCAGCCATGTGAGGGGCAGCCAGTGCTGTTCTGCCTGTTCTAGCCAGTTGGCACTCTCAGAGACAAGGAACACCGGGAGGCACCTGCTGTCCAGCCAGGGCCACTGTCCAGGGGACATGATGGTAGCCCTGCTGGGCCTCTCTATCCCAGCATGTGCTGAGCTGGGTTGCTGCTGACCTAGGAAACTAATACTGGCTGCTCTATCCACAGCCCAAAGTTGTTGCCCACCAGGGAACAGAAGCCACAGGGCCCAAAGAGCTGCTGGACTTCGCCCGCTCTTCTGTGTCTGGCACGAGGGCTTGCACCTCGGGGTCATTCAGGAGGCAGACACATGGCACTGACAAGATCACGGGCCCCTAGAGTTGGACAGGTGGACTTTGCAGTGGAGCCCACAACATGGGCCCAGCCAGGACCCGCCCCAACTCAGGGGTTTTCCAGGAGAACTGGCCTGAGTTTATGGCTTCCTGAGAGGACAATGGTGGGAGGGGAACAGGGAGCGTGGGACGCCAGCCACAGACGGCACATCCTGTTCACAGCCTCGCAACAGGCTTAAAAACAAACAAGTGTTACAGTCCCAGATGAAGCTGAAAACTAATAAACCGTCAGCTGCAGGCTCTCGGGCTGGGCGGTCACTTCCAGAACGGCCCAGCCACACATTCCTGGGGCCCAGACCCGAGCCCAGGAAGCGGTGCAGGAGCCAGGCCAGTGCTGGGGCAGTGAAGCAGGAAAACAGGACTGGGGTGACAGCAGGACTTGCTCATTCTGCACGTGTCCTGGCAGTGCAGTCACCAGGCGCTGGGCCCCTGGCTCGGGACGTACATGGACAAAACTGCCCAGTGCCCTCCCTCTCCTGGGCAGCCTGGGAGGGGGAGGCAGGGCTCTGGTGGAGTCCATGGTTTTGTTTAAAAATGTGTTTATTTTCTTAAAAACATTTAATTCAAAAGGCAGAAAGGGTGGATGTGGGTTGAGGAGAGAGAGAAAAAAAGAGCAAGAGAGAGAGAATCTTTCTCTGTTGGTTTACTCCCCAACAACCAGGGCTGGTCAGCCTGAAAACCAGGCACCTGGACCTCACATGGGTGGCAGGGATCAGAACGTGAGGCCTCCCTGGGTGCACATGAGCAGCAAGTTGGGGGTCAGCAACCGGAGCCGGGACTCCAATCAGGCACTTGGCTATGGGATGGGGCGCTTCTGCCGACAGCTGAAGTGCTGCCCCAAGCACCCGCCCTGACACCATGGTTTTCAAGGACAACCCCTTTTCGTCCCTCCGCTCAGGCACAGGAAGGCACGTGGCCATGAGCCACGGGACTGCACGGGATGACTGGGTCAACTGATAGGACAGCATCTCACGGGCTTGTGGCAACAAACTACAACTGGAGAATGCGTCCTTGGGGAGCACACGTTTCACCCACGTGTCAAGAGCACGCGGCACGGAGGAGCCTGGGTCGGCGGCAGGGGGACCCAGCAGAGGCCCAGGCCCTGCACCAGCACCCTGCTTCTTTGTTACATCATCCAGTGCCGCTGGGAGCTGGGAGGGCCGGGCAGGGGAGGCTGAGGGAGAGCTGGGGTCAGAACCAGGGGGGTGGCCCCTTGTGGAGTCAGCCAAAGTGTAGTGCCTCAAGCTGGGTGCTGGGAGGCGAGAGGTGGGGGAGTGAAGGCTGCATGGCAGAGGGGAGTAGTGGCAGAGGTGGATGCTGCCCTCAAGCCAGCTCCAACCCTGGGAGGGGCACCCTGAGTCCAGGGAAGGCAGGCGGGGCAGGAGCCAACCCCACTCCTAGACTTCTGATATCCTCTTGCTCTGGGCAGGTGACAGGGGACAGCTCAGACTCAGGACTCCCAGCCCTGTAGGTCCTGGCCCAGAGAGGTCCTGTGTGACCTACAGGCTCCTTGGCTGGCTCCGGGCTTGCAGGGTGGCAGGTCAACAGCTGTGTTTCATTAAAAGTCAGAGCTATATGTGAAGAACATATCCAAGGAGGCATGCTGAGGGTCTCCTGAGCATGCGTGGTGGTGCCCAAGCCTGTGGGCTGGGCCCTAGGGGCCTGGGAGACATCTAAGGCATTGGACTGCCTGGCACAAGGCCCCAGGACAACCCTGGGGACAGGTTACCCAGCAAGTCTGGGACCCTGGACCAGGAGGCCTTGGAGCAGAAGCCTGAGAGTACTCTGGCCCCTTGATGGCAGGAGGGGCCCAGAACAGGGGGCCCAGCCCTAGGCCCAGGCCAAGCTACGGGGCGTGCCACAGGCTGCTCCGCTGCAGGGGGCAGTGGCAGGTGTTGGCTCTGCACTGAGGCCCAAGGAGGCTGTGGGCTGGGTCTGAGGAGGCCAGGGGCTGGCCAGGCCCTTCCTGAGAGAGGAAGAGGGAGAAAGGGGAGGGCCTGGCAGGAATTCCACTCATCCCCTTAGTAACTGTATGTGGAACACGAGCAGTTCGTATTAACATGGCCAATGGCTGGGCTCCCTGCCCAGAGTCCCTCTCCTGGGAGGCTCTGGCAGGGGCGGCAGGCCCCCAGCAGCCATCCTGAGCAGACTCCAGTCTGGCCTGACACAGAGACCTCCCAAATCCTGCCCCAGGCCCAAGCCAGCCTCCCTTACGCTGGGTTAGCAAAACCCAGTGTAAGGTGCACAGGTGGGCAGGTCTCCCTGTTTGTGGGACACCCTCCTAGGGTTACCCATTCTTCAATTTCAGCTCATCCTGGGGACTGGGCTCCCGGCTCCTCTCCAGGTCCATGTGGGCTGGAACAGGGTAGCCTTCCCTCCTGCAGTAACCTTTGCTGTCTACGCCTGCCAGGTTCCACCCAGACCCCCACCTGGAAGAAAGGGAGCAATGTGGTGGAGAGTCCTAGAGCTCGGGGTTCCCTCCCCTGGGAGAAGTCGTGGCCTGCCAAGTGTGCCTCCCCCACTCACACTGGCATCCACAGCATGATCACCAGCCCAGGCCCAGCATCGGGTGGGGGTCAGAAGAGGCTGGGGGCCTCCTGGGCCGAGGTGTCGTGGTCCTGGATGTATTGCAAGATGTCCATCTCGTCCATGGCGTGGACCTGCGGCTGCTGCTTCGGCAGCTCTGTCATGGCTTCCAGGGGACGTGCTGTGGGGGGCACGGCTGGTTTCCTGGGCAGTGCTGGCTTAGCTGCCACCGGCGGCTTGGGCTTGGGCTTGGGCTGGGGGTCGGCCCCCAGGTTCAGAATCTGGTCCAAGTCCTCTTCAACCCTGAGGGACCAAGGGGAGTGGTCCTGAGCATCATCATCCTCCACCAAAGCAGTAAGACCCCCCCAGAAATGCCACTCCCTGCACGGGTGCTGGGCCCTTCCTGGAGAGGAGGCAAAAGGTAATACCCATCTCCCCTCTCTCCTGTAGCATCCAGCCCTCATCACCTCCAGAGGGACGCTCCTTTGGCAAGCCCACTGCAAAGTCACTGGCACGGAGCCCTGTCAGAAACAACCGCCACTGAAACTGTGGGTGGCCCTGTGCCTCGTTCCTTGAATGCGTGATCTCCTTCACCCTCATAGCCCCTGGCAGACAGGAAGAGGAGCCGTGGGGCACAGTGCATGGCAGTGCCAGAGTCCTGGGGTCCAGACTTCGAAGCCGAGGTCTCACCCAGCCCAAGCGCAGCCAGAGAGGACCTGAAGGAGGGGTGCTGAGCCACTGAGGCACCAAAGCTCTGACATGGCTCTTTGATGGGCAGGACCACAGGCCCCGGCATGGTGCTGGTCCCTGGTACAGACTGGCAGGAAGGGATGCTCTGCCCACGGCCCACACTCTAGCAGGGGAGCTCTTGGTGGGGACAGATGCATGGTGAAGGTCACACACAGCCCACTACACCCCAGCCACGGGATCCCTGCCACAGCCAGGGGTGTCCACATGCCTTAACTCATTTCATCTCAAAATACCTGTCAGTCACTTTTCACAGATGTGCAAACTAAGGCACAGGGTGGTGCCTCACAGCCAGCAAAAGCAGGAATGTGGCCCCGTGTGGCAGGTGCTATACGCATCTACACAGCAGCCAGCTGCGGGCCAGGCTTTTTCCTTGTGTCTCATGGTACCAACACCTGCCACACTGAGGCATGGGAGGGAGGGCTCAGGCACGGAAGGCGGATGTCCTAAGGGCCACTTGGCCATTGCAAGTGTCACATTTGTCATCTGCAACACGAGCAGGGCGGCCCCGCCTGGCACAGGGGCACAGCCCTGCCTGGCACAACCAGTTACTCTTCTGCATTTGTGACTCCATCACCCCTGGTCCTCCATCTCCTCTGCCTGGTCCTCAGTCTTCTAGTCTATCAAATGGGGCTGGTTATTGCTCTGCCAGACTCCCAGGATCTCCTGTCTGGATCAGCTCAGTCAACAATGGAGAGAGTTGTTGCACCTGCTCTCTGGGAGCAGGGGCTGCACAAAACACGGTAAGATTTTAAGGAGTGATCACCTCAATTGTTCATGTGGAGCACCCTGGCCCAGTAAGGCTGAAAAGGGCCTGAGGAGTAGCTACAGGAGTCCAGAGAAGGGGCTAGCCTTGACAGAGGGCAGATGGGTAGGGTGGGTGGGGGGTAGTACACAGTAGGCTGGGCCAGCTTCCTGGGAGCCTGGGCCCAGCAGGAAGTGGGAGTGGGAGCGAGCTGGGGGTCTGGAGGTGGAAAGGGAGCTGTGGGAGCAGACAGGCAGGCTTCCTGCCCGGGCCAGGCATCCCAGGGCAGCATGGATGTCAGAAGGGCTGGCAGGGAGCAGGATAGCGGGGTGTCTTTCCACAGAATGGCCCTGGTTCTGCAAGACCTGGAAGAGGTTGTGTGCGTGTATGGGGGTTGCCTAACACAGCCTCCCAGCAGGGCTTCCACCCAGTGCTGCTCCAGCTGTTGAGGCCAGCCCTGCCTGCTCCCCCAGTGTCCTGTACAGCCCTCCTGAGAGAATCCAGAGCCCACGTGGGCAGCAGGGAAATGGACATGAGTGTCCTGGTCCAGAGGCAGCCCAGCCTAGGCCCACCTCAGGTTCCACTATATTTCAGAAGGCCAGGTTGATCGTGGCAACCCCAGCTGTGCCTATAGTCCCTCTGTGCAGGGACAGGTGCCACTTGTCCCTGCATCCTCCCCCGGAAAAGTTCAAACTGTCCTCAAACAGAGGCCCTTGCCGAAACAAAGTGGCAGCCTGTGGCATGTGGCAGAGTCCAGCATAACACTGCTGCAGCAGTGAGTCCCCAGGAGATCAGAACAGAAGCTGCATCTGCTTGGAGGTGGGTGACACCCAGGGAACCCCCTTTCTGAGCACCCTGTTGCCACTGGGCTCCATGGGTCAGGGCTAACAACAGGTTCCATGGACGCCAAGGCCATGGCTCTTCTTTAACCAGGTCTAGCCGGGGAGAGGTCAACTGGTGAGGTGCCTACACTGCCTGGGGACAGCCAAGGCCATGGCCAGCAATGCAATGAGTGTAGATTTGGAAGCCCAAGTGGACAAACGGCCACTGGGGAGGCTCTCATTACAGGGAGCTGACCACTGCTGGCATGGTCACAGGCTCCAGCTTTCAACAAGTGGCTTCTGCACTGCGAGATGTCTGTGAACCGAAGGGGCACGGGGGAGATTTGCCAGGTGCACTGTGGGAGGCTCCTGGAGCCCAGTGAGTATCCGAAGTGTCAAGTGGCACCACAGGACAGCCAGCACCCTGGTCACCATGCGTGTCTCTGACCCACCCAGCCTCAGGACCCCCTTGAAGGTGGCTGTCAATGCTGTACTGTGCTGGCTTCTGAGATGGACATAGAGTAAGCGATGCCACAAAGACCCCAGTGCACGCTAGCCCTGCCACTCCCCGGGGCTGGCCCCCACAGCTGCTTCCCTGTGCCTTGGTTTCTGCCCTCCCCACCCACCCCCCAACAATACTCCCCGATTACCCCCTGACTGCCAGGTGTCAGGGGTGACGCCACTTGGAGAACGGCAGATGCCAGGGGCCTTGGGGACACAGTGACTCAGGCTCCCTAGCCCAAAGCTGCTGCTGAGGGTAACAGGGGACAGCTTGCTGGGACTGCATGCGTGGGGCTCCTGAGGCTGAGCTTCTGCTAAGTCGGGTGCCCCTGCAGCCTGGGGACATGCAAACGCAGAAGCAGGGAGAACCTGCAGCCTCTTCTCCCCATATTTCCAGAATCCCCCATGGGGAGGAAGGGCCAGCACAGCACAGGGACATGGCAGCTCAGCTGTCATTCCCCCCTCTCTCTCTTGCTGCTTCCTCCCTGCTGGTGCCCTACAGCCCACCCCTGATGAACAGGCCACTGCACATGACATCTGTGCTCTGCTCCCTCCGGAGACCCGTGTGCCACCAAGACTTGCTCAGCCTCGTGACACTTGGCCCTGCCATTATGTCGCTTCATGATCCTTTGTATAAACTGTGGTTTGCGTGAAACTCTCTCTAGCTAGAACTGGCCAGGCTGCTCCCGGGTGAGTTCCTCCTAGAGCGACACCCCACTTCTGGGTCACGCAGAGGCACTACCTCCTCCCCGCAAGGCCACTGAGACCCCCCCGCAGCGGCAGGACAGGCAATGGGTCCCTGGCTCTTTTGGAGCCGGGACCAGCAGTACCTCAACAGCTCCTCCGTGGCAGCCCCAAGGCCCAGGCCAGATGTGAGCACTCCTCTCTCCCGGGCAGCTGGCAGCAGTAACGGGTCACCCAGAGGGACGGCCCCGCCAAGGTCAGGATCCTCAAACAGCTTCAGAGCTGCGGGTGGAGGCAGTGGCAGAGTAGTCAGAGGGAGTTCTGGACTGGCCTCAGTGCCAGGTGCAGGACCAAGCTAACTGTGCTTGGCTTCAGAGGGCACCCAGGAGACTGAGTGAGAAATCCAGAAAAGCAGGGGCAGCTGGGATAGGAGGAGGATAAGGAGGGGACGGTGGCTCGCTGAGGGCCAGGAATGCCTGCCTTTCACCACCCGCTCCAGGTTCCCTCTGCCTTTGTGCCCCCTTGTTCAGTGCAGCCAGGCTCCCCATGGTTGCTTTGCCTTTCCGTGCCAGCCACTGAGTTCACCCAGTACCAGGGTACAGGACGCAGGGGCACAGACACGGCTCCCACCACACAGCCTGGACTCCCCCAGCCCATCTTCTGCCTGCACTACTCACAGCTTCCCCCACAACACTAATAGTGGCCTATGTTGAGGGACCCCAAAGACCTTGGACCAGCTCAAATGCAGCCCCGCCCTGCAGCGCCTCCACCAGGATGTCTGCCACAGTGCCCCAAGGAGGGACTGGTGCTTGGATTCAGCTTTGCTCCCACCTCCAGCTCCTGAACTATTGGCATGTGACAACCTGGGTCCCCACAGCACCCTGACACCTTCAGCCTGGACAGGAGACCTGTATTCAGTTTGTTCTTGGGGCCCAGCCACTCTAGATGTAAGCCAGGCAACACAGGGGGCTGTCCCTCCCACGGCAGAGTGCAGCTCTCAAATGTTCCACGCAGTGGGGAAGCTTCTGCGGCCGAGCAGGACACACCCCAGGGTACTTACGGTCTGTGCTGGGCTCATCCTCTGCAAGGCCCTGGGGGGAGAGCTTCTTGCCCGGGCTGAAGAGCTCCTGGTCAGGGTCCACCTCCTCATCAAAGAGGGTGAGCCGGGGCCGGGGCCGGGGCCGGGGCCGGGCCGAGGGCTGGGCTGTCGCCGTGCCACCCTCAGTGCTCTTCTTGGGCTTCTTGGAGCTGGAGAAACAGACAAAACTCAAGGTGGAGATTTCTCACAGGAGCTCAGGAGGCCTGCCCAGCCCACCCAGGCACCCAGGCTCCGTGGGGGCCTGCAGGACACAGAGAAGCCCAGGGCTGTGGCAGGGCTCAGGAGGGCCTGGACAGGGCAGCCTAGAGAGATCAACAAGGCTGTTCTCAGAGGGCCAGCTGGCAGTCCGCAGCAGACAGGCCTGAACCTGGGCTAAAAAGGGATCAGTGATCTGCTGACATGGTGCTGAGACCCTGGCTCTGGGCAGTGGCCACGGTCAAGAAGAGCCACAAAAAGCAAGCCCCTGGCCTCGACCTTGACCGCTCAGCCTACTGCATGGTCAACGGCTGGAGGACACGCTCTGCTTCCCAAGGTGGGAGAGGCTGCCTGGTCCCAGCCTGCAGGACCAGCACAGACAGCCACATTCCATAGCCACTTGGTGATGAGGTACATGTGGTCAGGCCTGGGCCCAAGGGCAGAAAGTAACAGGTGAGTCCCTTTTGCCCCTCACCTGCTCCTTAGAATCACATGGTCACTGTCTTCCTAGCAGATACTTTGGTTCTGCCAGGCAGTCCTCTTTCAGAGGGGCCCTCTGGGAGTCAGCTCCCTCTTGGTCCCGTTAAGGGGGGAGAGAAGTGGGTGTGGCTGCCGGTGCTGGGTGTTCATGGTCCGCTGTGAGCAATACAGCCTATAAGCCGGTAAATGAGTGAACAAGCATGGCTGTGCTTTTAACAAGCTGAGCCAATCTCTGCTGTTGATGCCCACATCGGCCATGCAAGGTTCCCGCACAGACCAACAATACGCTTCTTACTGGAAACTGAACTCCCCGCGCCCGTCTGCCCAGCGGGCCGTTCCACTGGACTGAGGTCACCGTCTGAGCTCATGCTGGCAACACTGTGTGGCCAGACTGGGCTGAGCCTGGCGCTGCCCTCAGTGTAACACAGATTAAGCTATGGTGAAAAAAACACAGCCGGGGTGCACAGGGCAGGCTGCCTAGGAGCAGCTTTCCCACAGTCCCGACTCCTGAGGGTGGGGGACAACCAGGCGTCCCGCCTCCCGCCACTGCTGCAGGACGGCTATGGGACAGAACAGCCTGGCCAGGCCCCACAGCTTGCTGCGGGAGAGAATGGCAGGTTAGAGCTGTGGAGTATCCGCAGGAGGCAGGCTGGGAACGGGGCCCAGGCAAGTGCATTCAGGGCTCTGTGCTCTGGCCTGTCCCCTAGCCCCTGTGATGTGTCATGAGCAGGCAGGGTGGCGAGGGATGATTCTCGGCAGGGACAAAGCACAGGGACCCGAGGCACAAGTCTGCATGCAAGGAGTGCTCAGCCCTCTGCAGAATGTCACGGCCAGAGGGGCTGCGAGCCACGCGGTCAGCCCAGGGGCTCAGGAGCTCTGTCCGCTGCCTCTCTGTCCCTGAATTAGCCACCACAGCCTCCCTCTGTCTGGACCCTGCTTCAGAATCCAGCAGGGAGAGCAGTGGTGAGGGGTGGAGCAGCCCCAAGTGCACCTGGGCTGCAGGCCCAGTAGGGCGACTTCATGACCCCCTTCCACCCAAAGCTTCACCCCATGCTCCCCAACACCCAGGTCAACATCAAGCAGGCCGCACCCATGGATTCTGCAGAGCAAAACCACATCCTACGTAGCCCCTGGGCCCTACGGGACAGCCTGCTCGCAGCTGTCAGCATTCAGCACCAGCCGTCTAGGAACAAAGGCAGTGAAACAGAAAATGGCTGCAAGCTGTCTCCAGGGAGGCGTGCGCATCTCCACGCACCGACTTCGGGCCCTGCTAGCACAAGCGAGGCCTAGCTTTGCGATGAGGCGATGTCCTTGTCTTTCTCCCTGGAGACATCTGTAATCTGTCAAACTGATATAAAGTATATGGCTGTCACGTGGGGCTGCTCAAGAAGCACACGTGCGTGCACACACACACACACACACAGCAGTTCACTCCAAACAGCCAGGGTACTATAGCCAACCTGGCCTAACAACTAAAGGGAGGGCCTCCTGGAGGCAGTGATGGCCTGGCATGCAGCAAATGCGAAGGCTAAGGGCAGAGGCGTGGATGTTCCAGACAGGAGGGCCCACCAGTCACTCTCCAAGAGGTCCTGACTTGGGTATCGATGGGCATGAGTGCCCCCGCCAGCCTCCCAGGATGTCTCAGACGTAAGGCAGGGGCGGCATTGGATGGGGAGGGCACAGTGGGATCAGGCCCTTGTGGCAGCTTTTTGGTGCCCTGTCTGTGGGAGCAGAGCCCTATGTGGGGGCAGACAAGGCCCGAGAGCTTCCGGAAGTAAACGTGCCCATCGGCCGTGACAGGGACGGTGACCGGGAGCAGAGAGACCGCCCAGGGTGACGCCAGGGTCACAGGCTGCATCCACAAGGCCCCTCACTCAGGCCTCCAAGCCTGGGCTTTGACTCGCCCCCTGCCCCTCCACCTCCTCTCCTGCTGCATGGCCCCACACACCGACCAGAACAAGGCGCTCACCGACGTGACCACAGCAGGAAGGCCCACAGTGATGACACTCTGGTCAGCACGGGCACAGCGGCATTAAGCATGGCATGCAGCAAACACACCTGCAGCCTCTGCTTTCTGGGGTACATGAGGGCTCCCCTGACCTTGGGATGCTCACGGGGGGAGGGGGGAGCACCAAGAGATGAGTCCAGCTCAGGGCATAGCAGGCATGAGCACAGATGTGTGTGGCATGTTCATGGTATGTCCACGTGTGAACACGGACAGACCTCCAGCTCTCCTGCCGGGAGGGTCTATCAGGAGACAGAGGAGCGGGTTGCACCGCACTCCACGGGCAGCACACGCAGAGAGGCATCAGCTGAGGCTGACAGCTCCCAAGCTCCTGCAGGCCAAGCAGTGGCCCCACTCCCTGCGGTGTAGGCATGCTCTGGCATCAGTGATTGGCACATGAGAGCATCCACCCCTCGGCCACCCAGGAAGCCTGTGGCATCATTCCCGAGTGCACCTGTCAGGGAAGACTGGGGATGGGCACCCAAAAGCCTCCGTGGAACCAGGTGCCTGTAGAGGCAGAGGCCACTCCCAGAGCCAGGTCCGCACACAGACAGGACACTCAGACACGGCCAGAACCGCCGAAGCCTGAGTGACACCCAAATGCAGAAGCCTACCTCCTTGTCAATCACGTCATTTGCCTGCCTTAAATAAAGCATTTTGCACATATGTGTCCTAAATTCTTTCTCTTGTCCCCAGTTAGAGAAAATTCTCGGGGTGGTAATAAATAACCTTCTGGCATCCACTCTGGGGCAGTACAATCTGCAACGGCACCGAGCAATGGGGTGCCCTGGAGGGGCCGCACAGGGTGTGAGTCGGCCCAAGGCTCCAGGCCAGCCTCGCCGGACAGAGGCTTCGGAGGACAGGCAGAGCCTTGTGATGATGCCACGGAGGACATGGCCAGGCCAATAGCAGGGCAGGAGGAGGAGGAGGGCGTGAGGGCAAGTTGGCACTACCCACAGGGCAAGGGGGGACTGTGGCCCTTGCCAAGGAGTGAGCAGAGGACAGGGCTGCAGGCAAGTCAGAGGCAACCTACAGGCCATGGACTTCCTGGAATGGACTTCCTTACCTGCTCAGCAGGAAAAAACAGGCCAGCCAGGACCGCTGTGCAAGCTCCAGGGGGAGCAGGAGGTGGGGGGCAGGAAGTAAAGGACAGACCCTGCACAGCCCTCTCCGAGGCGCCACAAGGTGGTAGGCTGTGGCAAGTACAAGCAGACCTGCCATTCTCCAGGCTTCCCTTTGGGCATCTCTGAGTCTGGTGGGATCTGACTTCTGGGGCTTTTAAACATGAACTTGCATGGGAACTGCCCCAGAGTCCAGGCAGTCGGAGAGGCCCAAGAATCAGCATCCCTGCAAACTCCAGCTGGTCTAGGGAAGGCCCGGGGACCTGCAGGGGACATCAGCGAGGACACCCCTTCCAGGAGCGATGGCAGTGCCATTTAGCCAAGAGGAGGCAGCTCCCGACATCTTGGGGACCACCTCACTGTGGTTAACAAATCTAGAGGCACCCCAAACAACAGCCCCATTCTGCAGCAACCCTTCCATCCAAACACAGGGAAGAAGATATTTTTATAGAAGACCACATGCTATTTTAAGAACAATTAAGCAAAATCTATATGTTAAAAAAAATAAACGTGCAACAGCACAGCTGTGCAAAGACACATCTAATTGTTACCACTGAGGCCACAGCAAGGCCACCCCTTTGAGGGGGTTTGGGGAGCCTGGCTGAGGTGTATTCACGCAGAAGCCAGCCATCCTAGGGGACTCAGGGAACCGGAGATGGCTCCTGGGGCCAGAGAAGTGGGCGGGGCGACAAGGAAGGCAGGGTGGCCTTGGCCTGGTGGAGTTTAGAGGAGCAGAGGGGCTTCATCTGAAAGGAGGAGTCAGCTCTCATTCCAGCCCTTTCCTGGGGTCCCCAGGAAGCATGAGTACCGAGCAATGGGATATGCATCCAGGAGAAGCTCAACACAGCATGCATGCACTCACACGTCCCTCCTGTTCCTGCAGGGGCCGGGCCTTGCCCTTGCAGACAGGGACCTCAGCGAGCAGACACTCAGGAAGGCACAGCCTGGACAGCCTAGCACCCAGACTACAAAAGGGGGGATCACGGAACAGCACCCCCTGCACTGCCCAGCCCCAACACCTGGCCCCAGCACCGAGACGTGCTCGCTTGGAGGGCACAAGGCCTTTGCCCTGTTGTCCCCAGTGTTTCCACACTAACGGGCACCACGATCTGGCACAGTGTGGCCAGCAGAAGACAGACCAATGAGAAAGGAACTTCAGCTTTCTCAGAACCCTGAGGTCTCTGAAACAGGAAGCTAAATGCAAAGCCAGCATCCAACCAGGGAGGCGCTGACCAGGGAGCACTAAGTGAGAAGGCCGAGCAGGCAGCAGCCCCCCAGGCAGCACCGAGTCCCCAGGGAGCACCACGTCTGCAGTCAGCAGGATGGCACAGGGGCAGAGGAAGATCCCGGTGAACGTGGGCAGCGGTACTGTTAGGAGGGCCCAGGCAAGGCTTTCCCCACCTCTGAGTGTTGTTTAAAGAGGTGTCATGGCCCCCATTTCCCCCCCAATCCAAGCCAGGCTGGAAAGACAAAGGAACACAGGCCTTGCTTTGTGTGGGCAACTCCCACCCTTCCAGGCGATTCTTCAGTGGAGCCACAGCGCCTCACCGTGGCCATGACCAGGAACGACCGGCACCTGACATATGGATACTGCCTGCTCCAGAACCAGGCCAGCATAGGGTAGGGTACAGCCACAGCTGGGGAACCAAGGCTGCTGCATCTGCAGGGAAACTTGGGGTGTAAGATGGAGAGGGATGCATGCAGAACATAGGTGGCTGGGTGGGCCCCCTGCAAAGAGCAGGCTGCTGCCCACTGAAGGGTGCCTGGACCCTCCTGGTGACTACAGGGGGGGGGGGCACGAGGAAACCTGCTCTGAACCCTCTGCCCTTGTTGTTTCCATCTGTGAAAGGGGGGCACCTGCGGGGTCCTGCTACCTGGGAATGTGGGTGAACTACCTGGCTGCAAAGCTCCTACTACATGAAACAATGCTAAGGCCAAAGTCGGCCTCCCAACTTCCGTTTCCCAAACAGCATCCATGATGGATCATGGGGGCAGCCTGCTAACGCTCACCTTCTCCAAAAGGTGGAACAGAATAGACACCCCCCGGCTCACTGCTGTTGGGGGGCTTCCCCAGGAGTTCTGGACACATGTATGCCATGTCCTGGCATACCTTACAATTCATACTGAGGGTCATGGCAAGAACATCTCAGAACTGCTGACTCGAAGATTAAACAACACCAAGCCAGTAAATGCTAGCCCAGCGCCCTGAAGTTAGTAAGCTCGCAAGCACAGCCCCTGTTACTCCTGACAAAGGTAAGAACTCTGGGCCAGGAGTGGGTCTTGGCCCTTGCGACAAAGCTTTCCTAGGGTTCAGGAATGAGGCTCAGCAGGTGTGTGGGGCTTGGAGCTGGTGGCAGGTGGTTCCTGGAGCTGGTGGCAGATGGTCCCAAGCCAGTGAGCACATTCCCGACCATGTGGCTCACTACCAGACCCCATGGGAAATTCAAGACGACCCAGGCCAACCCCAAAGAGCAGTTTTCTACCCCAAAAAAAAGAGCCATTTTGCTCAGAGCATCTTGCAGTCTGAGGCCGGCACTAGGCCGCCTCCATTTGGCACTGTGTGTGGTTACTTGGAGCACCTGGAGCGGGAGGGCAAACATCTCCCCCTTAGCAGTATAAAGCTGGAGAGGGGTCGCGCAGGTGGACGAGGCCTCTCCCCACATCAGTCTGCCATCCTAGCTGCCTCTCCTTCAGGCCTGAGCCCTCCTCCAGAGGGCCCCCTGGAACCTAGTCTTGGGGTCGACTGTGTGCCAAGGTGCTCCAGGACACCGCTCCCCGTCCCCCCATGCTGGTGTCTCCTGGCCCCCTGCAGCCTCCAACTCCAACCGTGGCAACAGAAGGAGCAGGAGGGGAGGGAAGCGGGGCTAGCCACGGGATGTGTACTTGCAGGTGTACATTTACAACTGTGTATGTGATATGTGCAGGGGACGCAGTACACTGACCAGGGCACCCCAACACGTGGCCTCCTGGTATCACGCGCAGTCAGCACCGACAGCACAAGTCTCCTGCAGCCACAAGATTCCTGAGGCCCTACATCCACCCTGCAGGGGTGCAGGGCTGGGGCAATCCTCCAGCAGCCCAGGCACGAGTGTCCCGGCTGGAGAACCAGACTTCCTGGGAGAGGAGGCCACAGGGCCATCCGGGGGCAGCTCTGCCAGGCCTTAGTACAGAGCCAGGGGCAGGTGAGGGGACAGCCCGTGACCAGGGAGGGGCAGACAAGGACACAGCACTTCCAAGGGCATGTGGAGAGCAAGCCCTTCCACCCCGGCAAGCCAGGATCCTAACCCTCAGGGAGCAGGTGGCGCAGGACAGGGGGAGGGTGCTGAGGCCTGTGAGCAGGAAGCTGGTATATAATCAGGAGGGTGTCCTGGCAAGGAGGGGAGACCTACCGCAGGATGCCTAGGGGATCCAGTGCCTCCTCCTCCTCCTCTTCCTCTTCTGCTTCCAGGGCCTTGTCTGTCTCCTTGCCCTTCAGGCCCACGTTGGCTGGTCCCTCGCCTGCTGTTTGTTCCTGCTGCTCAAAGAAGTCAAATGCCTCCTCCTGGCCCTTGGCCTGGTTGTCAGCATCGGTCAGGATTGAGGACTCTCTGCTGGGCAGCCCCGCGGCCCCTGGCGATCTGGTCCCTGCAGAGGAAGACAAATGAGGTGCTTGATGCCCTCCGCACCTTGCCACACAGCATCCTCCCTTGCTGGGTCTATAGCCCCAGAGCCCCTGTAGCTTCCTAGGATCACACCTGCCTGAGCCAGGAGGGGGGCTGGTGGACAGGAGGTGATGGTGTGGGGGGATACAGCTGACAGCAGTAGGGAAGCCCAGAGCAGTCACAAACAGGAGCTTCCCAACAAGACAGTGGCAATATTCCAGGAATACTGTCAGCACGCCCACTGGGCTAGTGGTGGTACCAAGCAGCTAGCGTCCAGGGCAGCTCCAACAGGCCGACATTTCAGAGCCATGTGGCAGCTGTGGGGCATGGCAAGGAGCTCTACCAGCCCCACCATGGGCAGGGACTGGCTCCGTGATTCTGTGTGGTTAGAGCAGCAAGGGCTGAGTGCACAGTGAGCACAGGGAAGGTCCCAGAACAAGTTGTGGTCACTCTGCTGCCAAGTGACTGAACTCACACTTCCCTGTAACCCACAGCCAGGTGTCCATGATCAGGTCAGCATACAGCAAGTATCCAGAAACTTCCACAGCAGCCTGGTATGGCCACACACTCACACACACACACACGCAAGCACAGGTGTCTCTGTGAAGTGGTAGGGCCAGTCCCACCCACAGAGTGCTTGAGACCCACCGGCTGTGACCTCCTGTTCATCCCCGCCCAGGGCCTGGGCAGTGTGTCCTGCCAGGCACCCACTTGGAGTGCTTAAAGTACAGGCTGCTGACAGCTCTACATTTTCAGTTCCACGTAAGGAACATCTCCTCCAGAACCTGCGAGACAGTGATTGCACCCGCTGGAGAGCTGAGGACCCCAAGGGCAGGACAGAATGGCTGTGATGCTGCACCCCACCCCCCAGCCCTCTCCCTCTGGAACAGAAGTGGCTGGAACACCCGCAAAGTCCTCCTGGGAACAGGCAGGAAGAGCGAGGAAGCCTCAGGGAGGACACAAAGCAGCCCGGGCTCTGCGACCCTGTCCTTGCCCAAGCCTTCTGTGGATTCACTGCCCTGGCTTTTATTCCCTACATCTTTCACAAAAAGTGTCTGTTACATGGAGTCGGCTTCGGGATGCAGTGGAAGAGCAGTGCTGGTTCGAGTCCTGGCCGCTCTACTTTCTATCCAGCTCCCTGCTCAAGGCCTGGGAAAGCAGTGGAGGAGGCTCCACAGTCACTGGGCTCCCGCAGCCAAGTGGGAGAGCTGGAGGAAGCTCCTGGCTCCTGGGTTTGTCCTAAGCTCACCCTGGATGTTGCCAGCGTTCGGGGAGTGACCCAGAATATGTAAGCTCTTCTTGTCCTTCTCAGCCTCTTAAATAAATAAGCAAATATTCTTTACAAAAACAAAAATGGGTTCATTTGCTCTCAACTTTCTCTACAAATCCTGGCTGGCCTGTGGAGCTGGGAGGCTCTCAGTCGTCAGCCAAGTCTCAATGAAAGTACTGCTCTAAAGTGAGCCAGCCAGCCGGGGCTGGTCTTGGTCAAAGCCGGGAGGCTGCAGCTCACACGCGTGTGCCCTCTGGCTGGTGTCGCTTCATCCAGGAGCTCCTCTGTGGCCCAGCACCTCCTTCAGGAAGTGCAAGTTCAACAACAGTCCAAGTGTCTCAGGTACCCAGGGTTCACGTCCCCTGATGACTGGAGCCCCAGAAAAAAATCCTGTTCCCCTTTCCTTTCATTTCTATCCTCCCGGAGTGGGCAGTGCGCCTCCCTGCAGCCAAGGCTGAACTGGAAGGGTGGCTTACACGCACAGGAAACGGCCGGCCCATGAGGCAGAATCGCCCAGTCGTTAAGAACAAGGCGCTGGGAACACGCTGAGCCCAGATCCCAGCCAAGCTGCCTGCGCACTGCATGACTTTGAACAAGCCACTGCACGTCTCTGTGACTCGATCACTGCCACCACAGAAAGACGACAATCAGAGTGGCCACTCCCTGGGATGATTGGGAGCGGCCAGTGAGTTTTAACACCAGCTTCTGCTGGGGGTTGAAAACATAGGCAGATGCACTCCGTGTGAAAGAAAGTGGGGGACACCACAAGGACTAATCAACAGAGACATAGGGCAGGAACACAACGAGGTGTGTACTGTGTGAACCCCTCCATTTTACACATGCACACACACACACGTAAAAGGATATTCTGTAACACTCAAGAAGGGCCTTGTGGCACAGTGGGTTAAACTTCCATAGCAGAGTGTTGGTTCAAATCTGGGCTGCTTTGCTTCCAATCCAGCTCCTTGAAAATGACCCTGAAAAGCAGCAGCAGATGGCCCAAGTGCTTGGTCCCCATGTGAGTCTGTATCCATCACTGTGTAAGGGCCTGTTCTAGGCGCCCCACTTGTGAGCTCACTCATTGCATGCCCACCACCCCTCACGGCCTTCCAGGTAAAAGACTGAGAAGACGGGGAGGGATGTGCGTGTGCACAAACACACACATGTGCACACACAGGTCGCGGCACCGTCGGACGGTGCTGGCCTAGAAAGCTGCAGTGTGGTCACACCTTGCAAGACGCCCTGAGTTAAGCACATGTGACTCCGCCCCCCCAGACCACAGGCCCTGGGAGTCTTCTCTGCCACAATGTGGCCTACAGGCGTCAGGGCCAGTGACCCAGGCAGCCAGCCGAAGGTCACCTCATCCAGCCCAGGGCAGAGAGGCTGGGGAGGCCTCGGGGATGGACGACAGGGCCCGAGGACTACCTAAGAATTCTAGCAACTCTGGGCTGCTGGCCAACTCAGCGTCCTCAGAGATGCGGCGCAGGATCTCATCAAACATGGCTCTCCTCTCCCGGATGTCTGCCTCTCCAACGAACAGCACCTTCCTGGGCAGCGGGGGGAGGCTGGCAGCCGCGGGGCGGGCGCTCAGCTTCTGGTAAAACTCCTCAATCTCGCTGTACTTCTTGGAGACCTGGAATGAGAGGGGCAGGCTGTGCCCTGAGTACGCAGTGAGACGAAAAACACCTGTCACCTCCACCAGATGTCCCCCCAGCAGCGTGCCCAGGCCAGCTGCTCCCCTCCACACTCCGGCTCCCTGCCTAGTCGATACTGAAAGTCTCAGGAGTCCAAAGAAAGATGTGACAATGGTATGACTCCAAGCACAGACTCTGGCATGTGGCCCCTGCCTGGCCTGCAGGCTACCACTGTCACGGCGTTCTTCCCAGACCTCCTGGGCATGCTCAGTGTGTCACCCGCCTGGCAGGCCCTCAGCACACCTTCCTGCAGCAGCCACCATTCCCCACCAGCCAGCGGCATCTTCCCACGCCACCCCACAGTGCAGCCAGACAGCGCCAGAGCAGGTGGCAGCCTGGCTCCCGGCAGCCTTTGCACACTGGCACCATGAAGAAACCAGCCAGGCTCCGGCTGCAATCAGGAGATAGCATTGTGCACCTTGGGCTGACCCCCAGCCCTGCCTCGGCCGCTCTCCACATCTCCTAAGGAACAAGGGCTCGCAGGTCCAGGCCTCCAGCTCTTGCTGTGTGTTTGGCCTGCCGAATAGGGACAACAGGACAGATCTCGGTGACAGCACAGGTATTCCAGTGACAAGGCCGTGGACACTTGGAGGATAGCCACTGCTCTGTGTGTCCCCACCATGCCCAGAGCCCCTGACTCCCAGCTCCTCTGGCCTCACCACTCTCTGTGGCAGGGCAGGGGTGACGCATGGATGACCGAGAGGCTCAGGAAGAACCAGTGACTCTTGGCAAGTGCTATGCACGCAGTGTGCACACTCCTCTAACCAGCGCCTTTCCCTGTGCTCACAGGCACTGCAGCAGCAGTCAGCTGGGACAGGAGCTGCAGCATGACGCTGTTTTATGGGGACTGGCAGTGTGGGCTCCACCTGGTCCTGAGCAAGCAGTGAGCAGGCAGAGATGGTGGCCCAGCGCCCCCTGCTGGCCTGCCTGCTCCAAGCAGGCTGTGTCCACAGAGCCCATCAAAGCCAGGACTGGCTGGGAGAGAAGCTGAAGTTCTCACACGGCCCAACGTCCATCCTCACGGTCCACCCAGGGCCTCTCAGCAGCAAGCAGAGGTCAAGGGAGAGAAACTGCGCATGAAGGGAACGAGGGAGAGTCTCACACGGATCTATTGCCCTGGTGTGCCAGCTCTGCTGGCTCCAGGCAAACGGCAAGAGCCCCGGAAAGCAGCACGTGTCCGGACACCCACCAGGCTTGTGGCGCTACCCGGACGCCGGCTCAACTCCAGGGGTGGCAATTAACCACATGCTCATGCTAAAACATTTCCATCTCCTTAAAGGGAGCAGGCAAAGTGCTCATTCATTCTTTCAGCTAAGGCAGGACACGTGAGAGGGAGTCCAAGTGTGGGCGACAGCCCCAGGGTGCATTTTCCTCAACCCCTGCAAGCGCTTTGGGACAGCCGGGCAGCACGGCCAGCGCTGGAGGATGGGGGGCTGGCCCCATGCTCCCCAGTCCCCACAATGCCCCAGGGGGAAATCAGCCTCAGCCTTCCTCCTCTTCAGCTCCCCGCCCTTAAGCCATGGGGGTGCTGAGCTCCCTGCTCAGCCCAGGCTGAGTGCAGGGCAGAGGCCCTCCCAGCCCGCCTGGACCTCACCTGCAGAGACAGCTCCGTTCTTGCTGACTGCAGAAGCCGCAGTCACAGAAGAGCAGCACTGCCACTTGCACACAGATCTGCGCCCCACGGTCTTTTAGGACACTGTCATTTTTAATAAATCACCAAAGTCAGGCAATTCACTATTTCTCTTTTTGGCTTTGGCTGCTGGGAGATTCAGAACCAAGGCTGTGCAACCCTGCAGGAGGCACTCCTCTCGCTCCTTGCCCGCTGACCCCACAGGGGCCCAGCTCTTTCTCCTGCCTCAGTGGCACACTTCTCCTCCTTGTCTCTTACTGGTGTCCCCAGCTCCTTTCCCCAGCCTCCTCTCCACCCTCCATGTCGGTTCTCCAGGCACCTCCATCCACCACTGGGCTTGGAATATCACCTCCTTGATGAGGCTTCAAGCCTTAGGCCTGACCCATCCTGAGTTCCAGCCATGTGGAGGGGGACCCTTCCCACACACCACATCCCCCGTCGGATCTGCCCTCCCGTCCCCCAGCGTCCTCTATGTCCACTGGTGGAAGCAGTAGGTTAGATGCATGCCATTTCCCCTGTGCCACCCTCCCCTGGTGCCCACATCCTTGCTGGCCACAGTTGTTCTGTTCCAAGCCCTCTACCTGGCGGGGGTGACCGTCCCAACCTTATAACTGCGTTCCCTACCCTCGGCCTTGTTCCTTCCAATCCAGCTCTACTCTCCAGCCAGACTGGCAAAGGGGACCATGTCACTTCCCTACTTAAAGCTCCTCCTTGGCTATAGGACAAGTCCAGTCACGCCCTGGATGCTGCCAGTTACCTAGCCTCACCTTCTGCTTCACGTCGGGACCACATGCACCTGCTCAGAGTTCCTGGTGCAAAGCCCTGTTGCAGTGGTCAAGCCTCTGAGCCACTGCGCTCCCTGCTGGACACTCTTCTCGGGCTCCGTCTGACCTGCTCAAAGCTCACTCCTCCCCAGCTCAGTGCCATCTCTCCACCCTGCCATTTGCATTTGTCACTGACCCCATCTCTTTGCAAGTCTATGTGTCTGTGGACTGCAGGCATCTGAGGCCCACTCATCTGACACAGTCTGACCCTCCAGAAGTGCACAACATTGCTCACACTCTCTTGAACAGTAGCTGCCCCCTGGGACCCCTGGGACCCCTGGGACCCCTGGGACCCCTGGGACCCCTGGGACCCCTGGGTCAAAGACAACCTCCTCCCCAACTCACCAAAAACTGGACAACATCGTCAGGCTTGTGCTTAGCCAACTTGAACACCGCCAGCCGGGTCACCACAAGGATCTGGTACTCCACATGCCCGGACATCATCTTGCCACGCACCTCCTGGTGCTGGGGCACACTCAGGTCGAGGCCCGTATGGACATTCTGGACACGCCTGCCAATGGGAGACAGAAATTCCAGTTCAGGTCCCAGTCATGGGTTTCCAGAAGGACTCGCACACAGGACCTGGTCACTGCGCAGCCACCGACCCTGCCACTTGCTGCCCCCTTAGGAGGCCTGGGCTGCTTGGAGACCACGGTGAGCTCCCCGCACGAACAGACAGAGGTGGGGATGGATCCTGGGGTCTTGCACACACCAGAAGTCTCACAGACTCTGTGGTGGTCCTGGGCCTGCATGGGGAATGCTAGGATAAAACCCACCAGGGAACTAGGGAAAGACAGGCCTCTTCAATCAGCCAGAGGGCAACAGAGGTGCCAGGAGCCTGGGAGATCAGGGCAGGCCAGGACAGACCCTATGGGTGAGGCTGCAGGAGACAGCTATGCTGCTTCCCCATCTGGGCAGCCTGGGAAGGCACACCTGCTAGAGTGCAGCTCTGTGCAAGAACTAAGGCAAGAAGCAGCCCAGCCCGGCCCAGGTTATAGTGCCTACCGGCATAGGTGTGGCTCAGGGCTGGGGGAGGGCCAGTTCATTACACCCACTGGCAGATCTGAGAACCAGGATAGGGTACAAGACAGGCAGGTATGGTCGCAGCACCAGCCAGTTCACATTAGGACCGGGACTGGGAACTGACTGCACCAGGATAGGTGGCAGAACCTGCCAGTATGAACTGGAACGGGGATAGACTAGGCCAGGCTACAACACTACCAGTAAATGCTGAGGTGAGACAGGCCACACCAGACTGGGCCACAGCACCCACCAGTACATGCGAGACTCTGTGTGTGTGTGTGTGTGTGTGTGTGTGTGTGTGTGTGTGTGTGTGTGTGTGTACAAGCAAGCCCAGTAGGGAAGCAGTGGGAACACCCCTGCTGGGCCACTGCTCTTGCTGGTGAGCGTGAGAGCTAGGACTGGGGGTAGACCAGGCCAGGCAGGGCTACAACATCTGTTGGCCCACATGTGAACTGGGTTAAGGGGAGAGCCAGGCTGGGCTAACCGATTGTATCCGCTGGTGCAGGCATGAGCCAGAGTAAGGGCAGAAGGGTTGGACTTTGCTGTAGCATCAGCTGGCACGTGTTGAGACTAGGGGCAAATCCTGTTGAGCTAGACTGAAGAACCATCTGGAGAGTGCAAGATCTGGGACAAGAAATGGATCCAGTGGGGAGGCTTTGGGAGGCCCTCTGATGGGCTGTAACTCCCACCAGTGAGCAAAAGAACCAGGACTGGGGTGGGCCTAGCTGGAGAGGCAGTGGCACCCACTGGCGTGAGTGTGGGTTGGAGGGTGGCGTTGGTTGGGATGAGTTAGGCCTCAATGTCCACTGATATATACAAGGTCTGAATGCGGTATGGGACACACCTGACCAGTCCACTGCACATACTGGCAGGCACAGGAACCAGAGCTGGGAGTCAGTCCAGTGGAGGTTCCTGGGGGTCACTCTGACTGGGCTACAGCTCTCCCTGGTGTGTGTAGGAGGCGGGGCTGGGCCTCAGCACCCATTGGCTTGCAGAAGAAGGGCCGAACAAACTGATCAATTATCCCAGTGAAGCTTGACAGCAAACCTCTGGGCAAATGGAGACTGAGGCAGACTACGTCAGCCAACTGACCTTGGAAGGATTTCCCCATCCTTGGCAATATCACTAGCATGCCAGCACTATTGAAACCACTTGAACAGAACTCTCAACATGCTCCAGATGGGGACCCTGGGGTGATCGGGTGGCTGTTCCCCATCCCCAGGTACTGAGGTGGTTGGGAGGCTGGGTGTGGTCTCTTTCATTGTATACCTCCTGCCCCGGATACAGGAAGAAGAAAATCAGGTAAACAGTGGTCCCGCCCACTTTCCCCTGGTCCTTAACCCTTTCCACCCTGATCAACTATGTAACCATCATCATCATTAAAAAAAAAAAAAAGGTGCAGCTCTCGGGACTGCTCTGTGCAACTCCCACAGGCTGAGCTGGGCAGTGCGCAAAGCCACCGAGAAAGGCTTCTCGGAGAAGACCGGGGCTGCGTCTCCCATCCCACACCACGGCATGCGTGTGAGATTTCCGAATCTCACATCCCAGCAGGAAGCACCTGTCACTGCGACAGAGACCTGCTGAGTACCAGGCAGTTCTTTCAGGGCACGAGGAGGGCTGGAGCCCTGAACAGGAGGACTCCGGGGAGTAAAGTGGTGCCAAGGAGGGCTAACCCTCCAGACGAACCCTCCACCTGTGGCGCCAGCATCCCGTGTGGGCACCATTTCTGAGTGGCTAGTGACACTGCCACTCCAAGGATGAGAAAATCCTTCCAAGGTCAGTAGGCTGACATAGTCCAGCTCAGAGTCTCCAGGACAGTGCTTCCCGGCACACACCCTGATCAGCCTGCACCTGTTGCCCTGCTCCTCCTAAGGCACACCCCCACTAGGTGGCAGTGGGGCCGCTCCTTATCACCTTCTTAGGGACAAGGCTCCTGCATGTCTGCCCTAGCTTCTCTGTACAATCCTCCCTCCTTGCTGGTCAGGCTCAGCAGGTGGCCACACTCTGTTTTCTTTACATGCCCCGTCGTGCTGACCCCTTTGCCCACAGAGGTCGACAGTGCCTCTCCTGTGAACTGGCCCATGCCCAGGCCACGGGGGCCTCCGAGCTGTAAAATCCAAAGGGCAACTCTTCCTTCTTTTCCTTGACGTCCCAGCATTTCAGCAGCGGATCACCCTACTCCTGGAAGCTCCGCGTGCATCGGCCGTTGGCTTCCGGCGCCCACTCTCTCTCGGCTCTCCCTTGCCTTTGAAGAACCTTGATGTTTTCTGCTTTTGTGATTTCTGCCTTGCTCGGCTGGGGCCTTGTGAACTCCAGGCCTGACAGTCTACATGACACCTGGCAGGTCACGTAGACACAGCACTGCTCAAGAAGCAGACCCCTGGTGTGCCTGTTGGATAAAAGTTGCTTGCCACCCTACAGCCCACCAGTTTGTATTTTCTGAAAGTTGCTTGCTTCAAGCCCACCAACAGAAGCCTGCCAACTCGCTCTTTTTAAAAGTTAACAGTTAAGGGCCCGGTGGCTTGGCCTAGCAGCTAAAGTCCTCGCCTTGAACGCGCCCGGGATCCCATATGGGCGCTGGTTCTAATCCCGGCAGCTCCACTTCCCATCCAGCTGCCTTGCTTGTGGCCTGGGAAAGCAGTTGAGGATGGCCCAGAGCTTTGGGACCCTGCACCGCGTGGTAGAGCCGGAAGAGGTTTCTGGTTCCCGGCTTTGGATCGGCGCAGTATCGGCCGTTATGCACTCACTTGGGGAATGAATCATCAGATGGAAGATCTTCCTCTCTGCCTCTCCTCCTCTCTGTATATCTGACTTTGTAATAAAAATAAATAAATCTTTAAAAAAAATTGTTTACAGTTAAACTGACCAGTCATGACTGTGGAATTGTGTGGAATTGGCCTGAAATGTGTAAGAACCCTGTGCTGCTGAACCTCAGCCCTTTCTTTTCTGCCCCTTCTCCTGCCCTTTCTCCTGCTGCTGCTTCAGCTGCCGCCCCTCCCCTGTCCCGCTGGGCCGGGGTGACGGCTGGGAGCCTAGGCCAGCTTGAACAAACAGCCCTTATGCGTTTGCACCAACTTCAGACTCCTGATCTGGGTACAACCCCTTCCCCAGCCATTGTTGCTCGGCCTTCCTGAGTGGTCTCCCCACTCTCGCGGACAGCTGCTGCCTCTGACCTTGTCGCTTGAGGCACGGCTCCCCAGGCGATCACACCCAGGTTCAAGGCTTTCAAGATCATTAGCAGGTGGATGGCTCCTAAATTCCAGTTAGTGCAGACCTTTGCCACCATGCTCACTTGGAACTGGATCCTGAAAATGAACACATCCAGACCAACGCCATTCCCGCTTCCTCTTACACTTGCCGTCTCCCAGCCCTCATTCTTGGAGTAACACAGGACAATGGCCTTGTGGTCGCTGACACCTCTGTAGTCCCCGTCAGCGAAGGGGAAAGCTGAATCTACAGAACCCGCCTAGAACCCAGTCCCCTGCCACCCCATGGAGTCTTGCAGGACCCCTGATGGCTCTGCCCGGCCACAACCCAGGTCCACACAGCAGGCAAAGGATGTCACTGCAGCTGCCACTGCCTCCTGCCTGACCTGTCCCCTGCTCTCAGGCCCACCTGTTCACTGACAAACTCCCCCGCCCCCATCCTCACCCTCGGGCTCTTGTCTTCTCTGCCACGTTCACTCCACTCCCACCACAGCATCTTTTGGGGGGGCCTCTTCGCTCAGAGAGCCATACAAACGAACCCCCATACCTCCTGTCACCTGGGTAACACAGCTGTGCACAATAAACTGGCTTGCCAGCAGGTTTCTGAGCAAGTGTGAGGCACACACCAGCACACCAAGTCAACCCAAGGCCTTCCCTGCCTTGCCAGGATGTGTCTTCCCGCAGTGCCCCCCAGATCACACCCTGGGTGCACACGCACTGCCTGCCCCTGCCCTGACACTTAGGCTGTGCAGCCTCCTGCAGGACACACATGGGTGGGGGTTGAGGGAGGGAGCGCTGTGTTCCCATGGCAACCTCAACTTTTTGCCCACCCTTGGCACCTGCAGCCTCCTTCCCCTTTCCCTCCTGCCCGGCCCCCCTGCACCAGCCGGGCACAGGCGGAGCGCTGCAAGGTGCTGTGGGTGTGTCCGGATTCCGGGGACCTTAAAGTATAGAACAGAAGAGACTCCCTCTAGCCTGCGCAGAAGCGGCTCGTTCCCGGTCTTCCACCGGGTTCTGAGCAAGCTCTTGACCCTCTGGGAACCTGGAATCCTTTATCCCACACACTGGGCGCCGCGCCACCTCTCCCGCAGGGCGGCGGAGGGGCCAGGGGCGCAGGGCGCAGGGCGCAGAGCGCGGGCTCTGGGCCTCGGCCGCCTGCGTCTGCCCCTCGGCCCGGGCGCTCCCGGCCTCCGAGCTGCCCGAGAACGGCACGGCGATGGGGTCCCGCTCACCTGGAGGTGACGAGCACCGCCGGGGACTGCATGGCGGCGGCGGGCGGGACGCGCGGTCACGGGACCCGGCGTGGCAGCGGCGCCTTGTCCCCGCCCCGCTCCCGGCGGCCCCGCGCGCCCGGACTGAGGCGTGGCGCACGCCGCCCTGCGCCCGCCCGCGGTCCGCCCCGCTGGGGTTCCTCCTGCAGCTTGGCCGCTCGGTCCCTGTAGCCTGCGTGTTGTCGCTAGCCGGGCCCCTGTCCCTCCTGCCCTGTTTTTTTTTTCCCTCAGCAAAGAGCTGCGACTTAAAGAAGTTCCAGGGAGGTGAAAAGAAATGTTTGTTTTGGTGCTAAAACAGAAAAATTAGAACCATGTGCAGCTTTTGCATAATCTGCATCATTTTTTGTTGACGTTAAGAATACCTCGTTATATGCACGGATTTCAAAACTCTTTCGCACCAACATAGATGTATCTTTTCATTCTATGTAACACTTGGGTGCAGCGGCCCAGGAAAACCCGGGCTGCCCCCAATCCATAGTCCTCCCCCTGGGGCTTAGCGGTGGGTCACCGCTTGGGGCAGCGCTGGCCACCAGACTCTGTTCCTACTCCCCGCTTGCCGCCACCACCACCATCATCATCATCACCACCATTGACTTTCTCCAATGTTGCTCCTGAATGGAGGCATCCATTCACACGCCTTACTGATTTGTTTCGAAGGTACCTCTCGAACAAAAGAGTGGGTGGGAGGTCAATCGAACGGATGAATGCCCAGGAGACCAAGGGTGGTGGGCGAGCACTGAGACCCGCGGCAGGTGCAGCTCGGCCCCTCCTTGCCAGTGGCTGCATGCTAGCCCCCCTCTCTACAGCCGGGCAGCACGAGTACGTTGCTGTAGCGGCTTTGTGTGGGGGCTTGGGGCCACGGGCCTCTGACGCTGGGCTTCAGGAAGTGGACCAGGCCTGGACTCCCAGAGTTGGGTGTGAAGGGTAGGAGGAAGGCAGGGGCAGCTGAGGGTTGTGGGCATCCCACCCCCACCCCCCTGAGCCAGGGGAGGAGATGGGGTGGGGAACCAGCGGCAAGTAGGGTCCCCCGCAGCGTTGCTGGAGCTGGGTGGGTCTCACCCTAGTTCTGGGGCTAGCAATTCCCTGAGAAAGACAGCCCCCCATTCTGAGCACTCCGCACACCCTGCACAGCCCTCCAGGGCTCCAGGGCCTAATTGCAGACCATGCCCAGAATGTGGGCTCTGCATCTGATCGAATTTGCTTCCTGCTGCACTGGGAGAGCCCCTCCCATGGCCAAGATCCCGGTAACACAAACCACGATGATGAACACGTTCCTTTCTGTCCCTCCCTTTCCCGCGACCCTGAGAGCTTGGCTCCAGGCCTCCTCTGCCAGGGATGGCATGGTGTATGGGAGGTGCTGGCAGCCCCCAGGCACGAATGACAGCACCAGAACAGCCCTGTGGCTTCTGGGGTGCTGTGGGTCAGGGCTGGGTCAGCCTGGCTGGAGAATTCCTCCAGGAGGCAGACCTGAGTCCTGAGGACAAGGTGGTGTCTCCCTTTAAGCCTTGGTCTTCACACTGATGAAATGGGTAGATGAGAAAGCAGTTGCTGTGTAGTGAACATGAGATAAAACAGGCAGGCCCTGGGAGCAGCTAGCCAAGAGCTGTTCCCCTCTGCCTTCCTCTCGTTTTTTTTTTTTCCTCACTTCCTGTCTGTCTGTCACTTCTCTTTCAGATAAGCACCTTGCTGGCCAGTGCTGTTCTGGGGGCATTTGTGTAGAGGGATCCCAGGGCTGGGCAGAATGCAACCGCCACCTTCAGGTAAGCCCCAGGACAGCTGCAGCCCATCTGGCCATCATAAATTCCCCCAAAGCACAGCATCACTGACCAATCAAAGGAAGGTCAAGGTCCACTGACCAACCAGGAACCGACACATGAGTTCATCACCCATCTCTCAGCCCCTGGTTCAATCTGTAAGAACCCTCACCCCCAACTCCTCAGGGAGCCCGGGAATGTATCACTAGCTGCCCAGCTCCTTGCTCTGTGCTTTGCAATAAACACCTACTTCCTTCCACGACTCCAAGGTCTGTGACTGGCTTTTGGCACACGTGGCAAATGGTCCCAGTTTGATGATCCCACAGCAATGAGTCCAACCAATGGTATTCAGCAACAAGCCCATCTGAGCCCTTGGCGTTTGAAGGGGCCATGGGGGCCCAGCGCAATGGCATAGTGGCTAAAGTCCTCACCTTGCATGAGCTGGGATCCCAAATGGGCTCCAATTCTAATCCTGGCAGCCCCGCTTCCCATCCAGCTCCCTGCTTGTGGCCTGGGAAAGCAGTGGAGGGCGGTCCAGAGCCTTGGGACCCTGCATCCACGTGGGAGATGTGGAAGAAAGTTCCTGGCTCCTGGCTGCAGATCGGCTCAGCTCCAGCCGTTGTGGCCCCTTGGGGAATTTGTAAGGAGTTATTGAAATATCCCACCCTGGACCTGGCGCCATTTCCTCTTCCTCACAGCTCACAAAATCATCCCTAGGCATTCACCTGCAGGCACCAATCCCCTGGGGCCTGCCCTCAATCCCTCCCAATCCCCGCCCCCACACCTTGCAGACAAAAAGGCCCCCAGGTGCGGCTCTCTCTCTTTCTCTCTTCTCCTTCTGGCCACACCTTCCCCTCCCCCCATCTCCACCCCCCACTCCTGGCTCCCCCTCCCCCCCTTTCCAGCCCCGCTGGAATAAACCTCCTAAGATCCCTTGTTGCGTCTGGTGTTTTCAGCTCACGGTAAAGAACCAGGTTGCAGGAATTAGCTGCACGTAATAGTATCGTAATATCGTATGAACTAGAACTCAAACTGTTTTAAATAACTAACAGAATTAACCATCGGATGGAAGATCTTCCTCTCTGTCTTTCCTCCTCTCTGTATATCTGCCTTTCCAATAAAAATAAATAAATCTTGAAAAAAGGGGGGGGGGGCGTGGGACATAATTCCTACCATTTCTACAAAAGTCCCTGCAGAGAGCTTTGCTTGCTAGGACAAACACTTTGCCCCTTCCTGGTCTTTCTGGAAATGGAATAGAATGCTGGAGACACGGCAACCACTTTGTGAGCCTGAGGCATAAGCAGCAGCTTAAGCTCGGTGGCTGAGGTGTCCCCTGGGAGCCTGCAGCCTCGGAGCACCTGGTTTGAATCCCGTCTCTACGTGCCGTTGCAGCTTCCTGCTAGGACACCAGCTTGGAAGGCAGCAGGCTCAAGGACCTGGGTCCCTTCCACTCACTTCAGGGACCTGATAGGTGGCGTTCCAGGCTCCTGGCTTTGGCTAGGCCTGGTTAGGGGTTGAGGCGTGAACCAGAAGATGGAATATTTCTCTCTTCCCCACCCTCTGTCTTTCAAATAAAATGAGAACAAATAAGTTACTTAATTTAAAAAATAGTAGGAGAGAAGCAATAACAAAATGGCTCCATCTCCAAACCCTTTGACCAGTGCTATGGCAGGGAGGGGGCGCGCCGGAGGGCATTCCTGTTGAGAAGGTGCTGGGGGCGGGAGACTGCTGACCCAGAGGCCTGAACACAGCAGGTGCAGGCGGCCAGTGTCCCAGCAGCTGGGGGCGGCACCTTGGTGAACAGCTGGTTACATGGCTCACAGCCCTGCCCAGGCTCTGCTTTTGCAATTTTCCCCCCCTGACACAGTAAGACATCTCAACACTTTTGCACGTGCCTTGAGGGAGATCAAACGCCAGCACACCCGCCCCCCATCTCCCACTGCCCCAGCGGCGTCCTTCATCCACAAAGGCTTTGCCCAAACCGCACACCGCACCCCCTCTCAGGCCTCTGAGCGCATGCGGGCTGGGGGATCCTTGGTCCTCCTTTGCTTTCCAGGTATCTTTGCCTGTCCTCTCACTGACATCTGTCAAGAATTCTCGGGCCGGCACAATAGCCTAGCAGCTACTTGCATACACTGGGATCCCATATGGGCACCAGTTCTAATCCCAGCAACCTTGCTTCCCATTCAGTTCCCTGTTTGTGACCTGGGAAAGGAGTTGAGGATGGCCAAAGACCCTGCACCTGTGTGGGAGAATTGGCTCTGGGCTCCTGGCTTCGGATCAGCTAAGTTCTGGCCACTTCCTCTCTGTCTCTTCTCCTCTCTGTGTTTCTGACATTGCAATAACAATAATCTTTCAAGCAGCTGGCTCTTTCCTGGCAGGAAAGGTACCCTGGATGGCAGAGGGCAGAGAGAGATGTCTCAGGAAACATGTAGTGCCAATGGTCCCCTCAACAGAATGACATTAAGTATAGCCATTTGGTGAAAGTCAATTCTAATTTTTTTTTTTTTTCAAATTTTACAGAGAGAAGGAGAGACAGAAAGATCTTCTATGTTTGGTTCATTCCCCAAGTGGCCACAACACCTGGAGCTGAGCTGATCTGAAGCCAGGAGCCAGGAACTTCTTCTGGGTTTCCCATGCGGGTGCTGGGTCCCAAGACTTTGAGACGTCCTTGACTGCTTTCTCAGGCCACAAGCAGGGAGCTGGAAGGGAAGTGGAGCAGCCGGAATACAAACCAGCACCCATATGGGATCCCGGCTCATGCAAGGTGAGAACCTTAGCCACTAGGCTATTGTTTTGATTTATTTTTAAAGATTCATTTACTTTTGTTTGAAACGCAGATTTTACAAAGGGAAGGAGAGACAGATAGATGTTCTACCTGCTGACTTGCTCCCTAAGTGGCCGCGATGGCTGGAACCGGGCTGAGCTGAAGCCAGGAGGTTCTTCTGGGTCTGCGATGCAGATACAGGGTCCCAAGACTTTGTGTCATCCTCTGCTGCTTTGCCAGGTCATTAGCAGAGAGCACGGAGGGAGTGGAGCAGCTGAGACATGAACCAGTGCCTGTATGGAATGCTGGCAAGCGGAGGATGAGCCTAATATGCTACTGCACCAACTTCCAATTCTGTCTTAAAAGAATCGTTATTTTATTATTATTTACGTATTTTGAAAGGCAGAGAGAAAGAGAGAATCTCCCATGAGGTTCACTCCCCAAATGCCTGAAGTACAGATGGTTCCCCCCCCCCCTCCCCCGGTGAGG